TACTGGTATTTTGATTGGGATTGCATTAAACCTGTATCATTTTTGGGAGTACATCCAATGTAGCAGTGTTGTTTTGCCTATCCAAGAACCGGGGATATCTGAAAGACCCTTGTCATAATTTAACCTGTTTTCCTGAATAAATCTTACTCTTCTCCTCATTGGGAGAAATTTCCTGTCCTTCCCCCATCAACTTTAGTGGAAACCCCTACCCTATTTCCAGAGTATTTTCTTTACCCCCGTTAGCACTGAATCCCTGTATCTGTGTGTCTACCTATCCTTATTAAATCTCCCTGTGGACTAGAAACCTCTCGATGACAGGCACCATATCTTACAGACTGTAGTAGCCCTTGGAGAAAGCCTTCTCTTGCTTACTCACCACAGCCTTCTATGGTAGGTGCCACATCATTCTTATTTTCTAAGTAAATAAATTAAGGCAGAGAGTTTAAGAAATTTGCCCAGAATTATAAAAAGCAATATAAGGATTTTTTGGTAGTATTGGGGACTGACCAGGGCTGCTTTAACAATGAGTTATATCCCTAGCCATTTTCATTTTTGTATTTTTTATTCTGAGACAGGGTCTTGATAAATTGCCAAGGCCATCCTTGAACTTGCCATTTTCCTTCCTTGGCCTTCTGAGTAGACTGGATTATAATACACACCACCATTCCCTGCCAAAGTCAGGATTTAAAACAAGGCAGCCTGACAGACATGGTGACACACGCCTATAATCCCAGCCACTTGGGAGACTGAAGCAGGATTAAAAGTTCAAAACCATCTGGAGAACTTAATGAAGTGCCACCTCAAAAAATAAAATTTTCACGTGATCTTAGTTAAAAGGCCAAGAAGCAAAAAAAAAAAAGAGCTGGAGATGTAGCTCAGTGGTATAGCATCCCCAGGATAAGTCCCCAGCACTACACACACAGAGAAGGAATACCTTCATCATTGTATTGTGAGCATTAAATGGATCTAAATGGGGGCTAGAGGTTTAGCTCAGCGGCATAAGTGCCTGCCTTGCAAGCAGGCAGTTGTGAGTTCCATCCCTGGTACCCGTAAAAAGGAAAAAGACAAAAACAACAAACAAAAAAGGATCTAAATGATGCATGTAGCATGGGGTTTGATAAATAGCAGTACTCAAAATGTTTGGCAATTACTATTAATTGTCCCTAATCTTCTGTAGTCAGCTCCTGCAAGTGTTTACACTGTAATTTTTTTTTTTTTTTTTTAAAGTGTGGCTTCTCCACCAGGGTATAACCTCAGAAGAAGCAGATACAAATCATTCACCTTGTATACCTGTTGTTTTATTTTAGAAGTAGAGTCCCCATGAGGCTACATGTTTTTCTGGCGAAGACATCCCTTATTGTTTTTCTTTGTCTTTTCGAGACAGGGTGTCACTATTTAGTCCAGGCTGACCTTGGGCTCACTTTGTAGCCCAGGGTAGTCTTGAACTTGTAAGGATCCTCTTGTCTCAGCCTCCCAAGTGCTGGGATTACAGGAGTGCACCACTATGCCTGACTTTCTCTTACTGTATTTGTGTATTAACAGCTAATCTTTCCAATGATAAAGTTTTCAAAAATTACTGTGTGCCAGAGGCCTATAATGGTAGTACTTGGGAGGTTGAGGTAGGAGAATCATCATGAGCTTTGGGGCCAGTCTGAGGTACATGTGAGTTCAAGGACAGCCTGAACTCACAGTAAGACTCTGTCTCAAAAAAACAAAAAGCAAGTAACAAATTGCTTGCGAAAGGACAAGGGATTTAGTTCAGTGGTACAGCACCTGCCTGGCAAATGTGAGTTCAATTACTGATACCCCCAAAACAATAACTTGTAAATTAAAAGTATCCAAAGCAGTATATGGTGTAATCCAAACTACTTGGGGGTATAGGCAGGAGGCAGGAGGACTGCAAGTTTAAGACCTGCTTGTGCAACTTAGAGACTTTATCTCAAAACAAGAGTTTGGCTAGCATACAGGAGATCCTGGGTTTATCTCTAGTACTAGGGGAAAAAAAGACAAAACCCCACAATCTAGGGAGATCCCACATTATCTTTACTAGTAAGTCATTGCTTTGGTTTTTTTGGTGGGGGTGGACGACTGGGAATTGAACTCAGGATCTTGTGCTTGCCAGGCAAATGCTACACCAGAGTTATATCCCCAGCCCATTTGTTTTTGAGACAGGGTCAGGCTAATTAGTCCAGGCTGGACTTGAACTCCTAGTGATCATTCTGCTCCAGGTTTCCAAGTGTTGGGATTTCAGGCACATGCCACAATGTCCAGCTAATCATTATTTAATAAAATCCAGCTAACAACTCATCTCCTGAATCACTTTACCTTAGCTTTTGGAATGACATAAATTTGCATTTGTTCAACACTGTCATATCCTTTTATCCACGGCCTAGATCTTCCTTTTCCTTTTGAACCTTTCTGAAGGCCTAATAGATGGCACTGTACATGTAGGAGCCAAAGGCTCAAGATAGACAGATATGCTTAATAACAACTGAATTATTTTTCCTTTGTGTTCTTTTTATGTCCACAGTATATTATCTTAAAATAAACGATGTGGACAATAATGGTGACTTTATCTCTGCTACCTTGCCTAGTAGGTGGCTCAGCAGAGAGGCTGTCAGTATAATTACCATCCAACCATGCCATAGTTGGAAGAACCCTTGACTCGGCATTTTAGATTGTATTTTATTTTTTGAGACAGGGTTTCACTATGGCCTTAAACTTGCAGTGATCCTCCTGCCTCAGCCTCCTGAATGCTCAGATTGCAGATGTGTGCCATAACACCCAGATTTTAATTTTAGGGGTACCAGGAATCAAACTCAGGATTTTATGCTTGCCAGGCAGACTTTGCCACTGAGCTAAATCTCTCTTCCCTAGATTTTTGGCTTTTTGAGACTTTTTAGATTTTAGAAGACACCTAGCTAGAATAGTACCAGAAAAAGATATTTGAAACTCTGGAATCTGTTGTTTGCTTGCCTAGCTCTATAACACGGGAACAAAGGTTCCCAAATGGCAGTCTGAAACAGAGTTACAGATAGCCACAAACATTTCTTGATACCCCAGGATTCCTAACACTACAGTTTAAAATTAGGGACTAAGCTGGAGGTGGTGGTATATACTTGTAATCTTAGTACTCTGGGAGACTGAAGCAGGAGACTGCTGAGAGTTTGAGGCTTGGGCTATATACTCAAAAAACCAAAAATATAGTTTGTGAAAGTTTTATCATATTTGTTTGCTTTTGGTAAGAATCTTTTTGGTTTATGTCTTGTACTGAGTAACTACTTTTTTCTAATTAAAAGACAATTTATTGGAAGATGAGAAAGGAGGAAGAGAAAGATGACAGACAGTTACTCTGGATGATGAGGGAGAATTTGAAAGTGAATTGCTCCTGAGTACTTTAAAGATAATGATACACAGTGTAACAACTATTGGTAGTCTCTCATTCTTTTTTTTTTTTGTCTTTTTCATTTTTATCAGTACCAGGGATCGAACTCACGACTGCCTGCTTGCAAGGCAGGCGCTTATGCCACTGAGCTAAATCCCCAGCCCCCTAGTCTCTCATTCTTTATGAAGTTTTATTTTTTTCATAAAATAAAAAATTAGGAGGGGCTGGGAATTTAACTCAGTAGCACAGTGCCTGCCTGGCAGGCATGAGGTCCTAAGTTCGATTCCCAGTACACTCCCCCCAAAAATTAGGGACTAGGGAACTCATAATTAGTAGGAAAATATATATAAAAACCCAGATCCTAACAGAAGCTTTTCAGCTAACTAGCTCTGCCACCTTGTAAGTAATTTATTTCTATAATTCAACTTCACCTGGACAGCAAGGAAGCCGGATGATGTATGAAAATGAAATAAACATTGCAGAATACTAGCTGTAGAAGGATGGAATTTTTCCACAGTTTTCTTCCAAGCAGATAACAGACTCTTCAAAGGTAGAGAACCTTTAATACACATTTGTATCTCCCGGCTCAGTGTCTAGCACGTTGTTTAGAAAGGCGGGCATCACAATCCCCTGGCTAAATCAGGAGAGAGCGAGTCAGAACACCCGAGTGAATGAAAAGTTTATTTGGAAAGTTTCTAATTAAGGAGAAAAATAATGAGTTAGATACTGAAAGCAAGATGCTTTCTCCAGTATATAAAGTGCTGTCGATCCCCAATGCAACAAGTTTTCTCTAGAATATCTGTATCCTGGACCTTGTTTATCTTCCTTGAAGCATAATCATTTAAGCCTATCACATCTGGAGAAAGATCCCGACCAATTTACCTAACAAAGCTAGTCAAAATGGGCATGCAGTTCCAACCTAAATTACTGTATTAGGCGGTGGCAGAGAGGGAGGAGGACCCAATTTTTCCTTTGGTAATCTTCCTTTTGTTTATTACGTTCACAGGCAACCCCGGCTCCCCACCCTAGGGACTGAACCCAGGGCTTTGTTTTACCACTGAGCTGCTCTCCAGCCCTCACAAGCAGCTTTTAACTCCTTTTAGTAGCAGGCTGCCGTCCTGGAGTGCAGGCTGGGATATCAGAAGAAGCTACTCTGCCTCCTGTCGGCCACAAGCAGAAAGACATGTTTCATTTGGCTTAGCACTGTGAGGTCACATTTCTCCTTCACAAACAGGACCTTGTGAAGGAAAGGAAAATGAAAAATGGGCTTCATTTTTGCTGGGCCTAGACCAAGCTTTAGGTGATAATAAGCCATTTACAACACATATCTTTAATCTTTCATTTTGTGAGCTACAACCTGAAGATGATGCATCTTCTGCACTGGCTATAGAAACAAAGGGACAGGAGGGCTAAGGAGAAGCCTGGTCTGACTGCTGCTGAGCCTGTTTCCTATCTCTTAAGTGGTGGAAATGGGAGCCCAGCCACATGCCACTCTAAAGGCCCCAGGGTTTCTTAGAAACTCAGGGCCCCATATCAGATTCTCCCTTAAATGGTGTCTTCAGTATTTTCTTCCCCCTCCCAAGCCCCAATAAAACACACCAACTGCTTCAGAGTGTTTCTGGGTTGGGTTTTTTTTATGGGTCTTTTTGTTTTTTATTTCGAATACTGAAAAAGTCCCTAGGCTCTGTGGGGCTCCCATGCTCATGGTTCCTTTCCCCCACGCTCACTGCCCTTTCCCCAGTAACAAATCTACTTCAAGGACAGAATATATATATATATATGTATATATATATATATATATATATATATATATTTTTTTTTTTTTTTTGTGGACAATTGAGTTCTCAGCTTGCTCTGAGGAATCAGAAGAGCTGTTTGCATTTGTCATCTGTAGATCAACAGTTGTTTTTATCTGACACAAGTCTCCAGCCACAACCACACAAGGCTTTTGTCTGAATTAGAACCTCTTATTAGTCTACTCCACTTCCTCCCCTTCCACGGACCCCACACTAACCATGTGGTTGAGGAGGATAGCCAGGGATGGTTTTATCGTCTCTAACCCCTAATTCGTATTCACTCAAATCTCCCACCCCACCCTCTCAACCCTACCCCTGGGATTTCACTGATTTTTCTTCCAACAGTTATTTGGAAAAAAACATAAAACAAAAACGGTTCAAGGTCTTGGTGCTCAGCCTAAGGGGCTCCATGCGCTGGAACACCAACGGGGAGGGGCTTCTGCCTCTCCAGCCCGCACCCAAGCCACCTCCTGACCCCTGGTTGCAAAAGCAGGGAGAGGCAGGAGCCAGCACAGGACCCAGGGGGCAGCTTCTCAGGATCTGGCAGAGCCCCGGGCAGCATCATTCAAGTTGGCCGCTGTGGATGAACACAGAAGAAAAAAAAAAACAAAAAACAAACAAACAAAAAAACACTGTCAAGTAATAGGGGAAAAACCCTGAAATCCATCCCAGTCAGTCTCTGCCCATTGTTCCTCTACACTTAATCCAGGATACCTGACTTTTGCCTCAATCTTAATCCATAAAGAAATAGCAAAAAATAAAAAAAGAAAGAAATTCTCATTCTTTTGCTATTCACAGAGAGGTTTTTTGCCTTTTTTGGAGATATTCATGGAAAACACACATAGAGGAGCAATTTTTTTTTTTGTCTTTTTGATACAGGGTCTCTCTATGCAGTTCAGGCTGGCCTTGAGCTCACTTTGTAGCCCAGGATGGTCTAGAACTCACAACGATCCTCCTGTCTCAGCCTCCCGAGTGCTGGGATTACAGGCGTGAATCACAGCGCCCAGCTGAGGAGCAATTTTTTTTTTTTTTTATCGGTACCGAGGATTGAACTCACGACCGCCTGCTTGCTAGGCAGGTGCTTATGCCGCTGACCTGAATCCCCAGCCCCTGAGGAGCAATTTTTTAAACAAGGTTAAAGCCACTAGAGGATTCCACGGAGTGAGGTACCGAGCTGAAAGCAGGCATGGTGTGAGACCCAGGGGCACAGCCACTCAGAGCAGGGGACACTGAGGCAGCTCAGTGATGAGGTGTTGACTGTGTGGAGGCCACAGTCAGACACGCACATGCTGGATGGATTTAGTAATGTAGTTTAATCAAAACAGTTTTCAAATCAACCTTCTTTGCTAAGGAAGCTATGTATTCCATGCTGCGAAAATAGTAGCAAATACAGAATATAGTCTGTTCGTTTTCGCAACCTTGAAGATGATCAGGTAGAGAGAGAGAGAGACAGAGACAGAGAGACAGAAGAGAAAGCGAGAGAGACAGAAAGAGAGTGAGCGAGAGAGACTAATACTTCACACAAATTCCCTATTGTTTCTGTTACTTCCTGAAAACCAGACTCACTGTGAACATCAGTCTTGAGGACTCAAACTGACCAATAGAAGGCAGCTCAGACAGAAAATAAAAAATGTACAGAATTTGAGCAGATCAGAGATGAAGAAAACGTACAAAATTATATATATATTTATATATATAATAACATGACATATCTATGTACAACATGGTTGGGACAGCTGAGGAAACTGTACAGTGATGGTCAGCATCTCCCCTCCCCTCCCCACATGGACTTTAGATCAAGGATGACAGCATGAGGGAATGAAGCAAGAAACACAAAAATTATATACAATTAGAAGTGACAGTCAAGGAGTCTGAGTGGGAAGGAGTCCAGGGATCCTGCTCTCTCTGTTCCTTCCTCACCAACATTTTCTATCCAATCTCAAGGACAGTCCAAAAGCTGCAGTCTGGAGACACAGACAGACCTCATCATCCCACCCACAGCAACGAGCCGGCCAGTCATTCTCAGTGCAGAAGTGGCTGGCCATCAGAATTGTGAGCTGAAAGGGCAAGAAGATTATGGAATCTTGCTCTTTCAGCTAGTTCTCACCCTGGCCCTCTTTGTCACAACTAATTGGAAAACTCCGTAAGATTAAGGCCAAACTAGCAATGACTAGATTGCAGATGCCAGTCCCCACAAACAACCCTTCTCTCCCAGCTGTTTGGGAAGCAGCAATGCTACCTATCTCATGGGAGCTGGGTTACCGAGCTCTAGGAAGGCAGCTTCCTCAGTTTCCCTGCTTCCTCCAAGGTAGGCTGTCTCCTAAGAACCTGATGCCCACTCCTGCAATAGCTCTAAGCCCTCTAGGGGTAGGGAGCTCAGTTTATCCCTTTTCTTTCCCTAACCCTCCTGGCATCTGATTACTTGGGAAGCTCGGGTCACTACACGGACATGATCAAGCATGTTTCCCTCAGCTCTGCTGCCTAAGCAGTATTTTGGTGGCTAAGGCTCATACGGAGGCCAAAAAAGTGGATGGGGTCAGAGATAAGAAGCCTACATGACTTCTTTTTTTTTTTTTTTTTTTTTTTTTGTACTAAAGATCTAACCTGGGGGTGCTTTACCACTGAGCTACATCCCCATCCCTTTTTAAGTTGCCTGTATGGGACTTGAACTCAGGATCCTCCTGTCTCAGCCCACTCCACTACTGAGGTGTGCCACTATACCTAGTTCCATGGCTAGCTTAAAATTTTTTTCTTAACTTCAAGACGGTGATACCTATAAGGTTCTGTTGCCTGAATTTATAGCCCTCAAATCGCAAATGTCCTCCTTCCCCATGCAGACTTCAAGTGATTCCCCTCTGGCGTACTTTCCCAGGATTTCAGAAGAGAGGCTCACTCATAGGCTTTCTTCACTTCTAGTTTTACAGTTTTACTACTGGCAGGGATGGAACTTTAGATCAGAATCAATCTTATATATACTTAACTTCTTTTTAAAGATGAGGAAACAGAAATCCAGAGAGGCTAACTGACTTGCCCAAATTATTCATGGGTACTACCAAGACTGAGTGGAACTAGACACCAGATATCTTGAGTGCTAAGCCAGTGCATTTTTCTACTATTCCACAAAACATTCAAAAGCAACATACTGGAAGAGAGAGAGAAGGTACCCATTTTCACCAATTTTCACATCAGTTGAGAGCTAGGGTAAACTGTAAGGTCTATCAAATAAGGAGGCTAAGTGGGAATACAGTTTTAGGCAAACAAATTAGTTTTCCTTTTTGGGGGTTCTTTCAACCTACCATAATGGAAACATGAAGCAATAGAAGACTAAGGGACAGAACATTTAGAAGCACAGAAAACATGTCTCATTCAGCCTACTTTTCCCAACTACGTCAGCTTTGTCTTGGGATGTTAAACTGTCACATATTCCTAAGGCTCAGTCTAACCAATTTTGGGGCATATTCTTCCAAAAAGAGAAAGCATATCTCCCAGTTTCTCAAGAAAGAAAGTGAGTCTGCAGCATTATCAAATCCTAGTCTTTCCTATTTCCAGGCCCCTACTTGGGCTACAATGAGGGTATGGAAGTATCAATTTAACCAAAGAAATGAATTCAGAGCCCCTCTTCAACCTGCATTACCTCCTCAGCAGCCCCCAGCAGCATCAGTCTTTCCTGGCTAGCAAACTGAGAAGACCTGTCTAGGGACCCAGTCCATCCCTGCCTATGACATAACAAAGTCCAGTGGGTGAGGAAGGGGAGCAGAGGAGGGCCCTGGTTACCCCGCAAGCTTGCTGGTGACGAGCGAGGATTTTCTCTGGGGCAGATCCTGTGGGGTGGGGATGTGGTCACCAGTCACCAGGTTCTTGTCTGGTCCTGCACTTGGCAGCTGCTTATTCTTCATCTTGGCTTTAGCCATGTTGTAGTCTCCTGAGTCAAAGTACTTTTGCTAAGAGACAAAGAGGGAGGTTTAGGTGAATAGGGAGCTCAAGCAACGAGACTTATATTTATTATAAGCCCTCAAACACATTCAGATCTTTCAAGTAAGTCTTTTTTATGCACATGTAGTTTAATATTAATTTTACAAATTTATGTCTTCCTTCCAACATGTTCTGACTTTTTCAAGTATATAAGCAGGTTTCTAGAAAGAACATACAAATTTCATAGTCAAAGGATAGCCCCTATATCTGCTGTACCTTACTCAGTACAGAACAGTTCAACTGTATTTATTTACTTTATTCTGAAAAGCTTATCGAGGACACTACTAAGTGCAAAGCAACAGCTTGGTGCTGGAGGAACAGAAATCAATCTGATATCAGAAGGGTCAATCCAGAGCTATCCCAGCAATCAGAAGATCAACCTCAAGCCAACAATCTCAAAATTAAACAATTATTCTTGCAGACCAAGAATAGGAACTGGGCTTGTTCATGAGAATACTGTGTTTTCCCGACTCCCAGCACTCCCACACATGTTCCACGGCTGTGCCAGCCTGCCCATGCCTGTCTTGCGTATGGCGAGGTAAACTGCAAATCAGCATTACAGTATTATCGGTGACCAAGACTTAATAACCGGGATTCTCTACAGGAATGTTTCGCTTCCATTTCATGAACATTCCAGCTTAATGTCGGCTGGTTTAAGGTCTATCTTGGGACTGAGGAACCTGATCAGGAGCAGGATGATTACGAACAGATTTTCGTAGGTAAGAAGACCACTCTGCACGGGAAACATTAGGAAAGTATAGTCGGTGGCTGGCACTGACTTCAAGAGTCTGAAGAAATCTACTTATTTTAAGATTTCCGTAGGACAAATGGCTTGGGTTTTTTCTCTGAAACAATACATCCCCAAATTTTTCTCTAATTCCTAAAAATCAAATATTGCAGGGTGCCCTACATTTCTGATCTTTAATGCCCACCCTACTTCCTACCATGCACCCAAATACCCTTACATTTTACCTGGTTTTCCTATATGTGTTATCAGAAGGCAACTGATAGCATATCAGGGATTTATATGTATTTATGTTTCTCTTTTCAAGTTTTAATTTCTCTGTACTAGTGCCCAATAATAAAACCTCCAGAAAACCAAACATGAACCTGAACAGACTTAGAGTCTCATTTGGCTCCAATGTAAGATGATAAAAGATTGTGTTCCACTCATACCCCTTTCTGGAGTCTCTTCATGAGGAAATCGGAGCCTCCAGGCTTTTGTCCTAGGCTTGGGTATTTGGCCTTTAGCTTTGCCTCCTCAGCTCTCTCGGGAAGAATACCTTCTTTCTCCTGTGTGTCCTGAAGGAAACAAAGGACCCAAATAAAACTAAAGACTGAGAAACAACAGCGCTTCTTTTTTTTTTTTTTTTTTTGTCTTTTTCCTTTTTATCGGTACCGGGGATCGAACTCCCGACTGCCTGCTTGCAAGGCAGGCGCTTATGCCGCTGAGCTAAATCCCCAGCCCCTGAAACAATAGCTTCTAGTATGTGATAATCCTTACATTATCAGCTTTTCCTGGAGATCTACTCATTTGTCAACATGCTATCTCTATCCTGCTCCTTTTTGACATCCTCCTGCCTCCTAAGAGGGCCACCTCACCTAGCCGTACTCTGCTCTTAAAGACCTTTATTCAAACTCTTAAAGCTCAAGACAACTGTATTGTAAGAAGAAAAAGACAAACCGCTTCACATGCTACACCCAAGAAAGCACCCCAGTGATCTGTGAGTACTGGCTTTAAGTTATCACCTAAACAGAATACCTGAGTCACACAGTGGGTCATAGCTTGCTACTCACAGATGACAGGAAAGACAGAGAAAAAAAAGGAGCTGGCCGGGGCTTCTGGTGCTACAAAACGGATAGGAAGACACCCTACAGTCAAATGGGAAGTCAGCAAGGATAAATCTTCTGACGGGTTCCACTTTACTCAGAGTCCAAGCCACTGGAGGCTCAAAGTTTTCTGAGTAATGGCTCAGTTCTGCTTCCACCTTTCTACTAATATTGTGGTAGCAAGGTGATAATTAAACAATGGGGAATTTAAAAAAACAGGGTTCACTAGTATTCATCCACTAGTTTTCACCAAAAAAAACTCCAAACAAACGAAAATCAAAAACAAAGACAGTGCCTAACCTAGTGTGGGAAGTGATGGAAGTCTGGGGAAAGAGCAAGAGTTCAAATGCCTTGTAGGGGCTCTCACTGTTCACTCTGCAGCTGCATGGGCCTTGTGGTTTTTGTTTTTTCTTTGTTTTGTTTTGTTTTGTGTGTGTTGTTTTGAAGAATCTGAAGTCAATCTATGGCTATTAGATTTTTCTTTGGTAATCATGTACAGATTTAACACCACATGTATTTCAAGAGTCTCTGAGCTCAGTACTAAATGTTTCAAATCAAATACAAACTCAAGGAGTTAATTTGGCGTTAAAATTTTCACCACAAAATCGCGTGTGGACTGAATCCCCAGTCTGAAGGAAGAGGGTGGTGCCTTTCTTGTCACAACTCTGTCAGCATCTTTTCTAGGCTTAACCTTCACTTGGATCTCTAGTCCACTTCAGTATTACTCGGTCCTCACTAAAGGTGAACAGACGACCTCTGTCAAAATCGGCCTCTTGAGAAAGTTGTCGCCTTAAATTAGCCGTGGTAATAATTATTCTTCTCCCCTCCCCCAATGCAAGTTTTCTTTAAACGTCTTAACTTCGATCTGCAACTTCATGCGGTTTAAGTTTGCGGGCCCCAGCCTGACTACTGGGTCACTCGTTTCCACTAACAGAAAAACACCTTTCAACCCAAGACCACGAGCCCCTTCAGCCACCTGGTCTTTCCAAACACCTGCCCACGCCCAAGCGCAGCCAATTATAGCATAGCTTCCACGGCTTGAGCGTTAGGCTTCTTACCCAATCAGGAAGGCTACACCACTGACAGACAACCAATCTAACCAACCAACGCCAAAGTATCAGACCCTGTTGGAGCTCACCCTGCGTGACGCAAGAAGCAGCCAACCCCTGCAGAGACTAAGACCATGGCGACCAATCCGCACTGCTAAGAGACCCGTTTCCCGCCTCAGCACGGTCGCCCCCCGGTTCGCTTGCCCGCACCCCCTCCATTTCACCTGCTTCTCCTCGCCGGTCTCCTCCACAGGGTTCTCGTCTTCTTGCTTCTGGGACATTGCGGGACCGGGGCTGTGGAGTGCAGGGGTCCCGGGAAGTCAACCGGACACGGGAAGGGGGAGGGGGAAACGGGGACAACCTGAGCTGCTGCTTCAGCTCCTGTCACTATGGTTGCTCAGTTAAAATGGCGGCTCTTGCCCATGACGTTGCAGCCGCCCCTTTCTGTAGAAGCCAATGAGAATGGGATAGATGGGGCAGTGACGTAAGGACCAACCAATAGTGGCCGGCTAAAAGTGGGTTCTGCAGAAGCGACGGGCAAACTGGAACACCAATCTGGAAAGAGAATGGGCCACAGGAAGGCCGCGGAGGATCTTGAAGGCAGGGCTGCTATTCTTGGCATTTTTGCTTTTGGATAGACTCAGAATTCCTTCGTCTCCGCCGCGTTGTTCTCAGGGAGCTGCAGAACGTCGAAGTGGAGAGCCACAGGATACAAACAATTTATTCTGAGTGGAAAGGACTCTGCTTTGTGCAATGTTAACAGGAAATTATTGATTTCTAGAAACACAACTTGTAGATCAGAGTAGACTTTAAGATGGTATTCAACAGTTTATCGATGTGTCATTAATTTTGTGTGTGGAATGGAGATACCGAATCCTAACTTAAGTCGTCTTGCAAGAACACTATGGTTTCTGCTTCACAATGTAACACTTATGTACACGGTCATCCCATGAGAACCGAGCTCCTTGAAACTGAGAGCACAATACAGTCAACATTTAGCAAATGTAGTTAATACTAATTAATGTATCCAAGATCATAGTTAAGCAATATTTCATTTTTTTTTCTTTTTTGTTACTCCGGGTTTACCTGAGCTGCATACTCAGTTCTTTAAAATATTTTCAGTCAGGGTCTTGCTAAGCTCCCCAGACTGGGCTTCAATTTAGGATCTTCCTTTCTTAGTCTCCCAGACTCTTCTTGAAGGTATTGGATGAGGTTTTCTGGCCTCAGTGGTTTGCACCATCACACCTCGCTTCGACAGTATTTCTTGAACATCTGTATTAGTTTCATAAAGGGGTATTTATAACAGTAAGGCAGTCATTGCCTTTAGAAAGCTTACAATCTCAAGTGAGTGTGGAGAGAAAGGATTTTCAGGTGTGTTATCCTAAATCCTCAAGATTAAATAGACATATCTTCCTGAAACATAAGTTTAAAAACATAGTATAAAACAGGCAAGGTAGTCTGAGGTAAAAGGATCGATGTGAGTTTGAGGCCAGTCTGAGCTACATAGTGAGTTCAAAGCCAGCCTGAACTACATCGTGAGATGCTGTCTCAAAACAAAAAACAAACAAACAAAAAAAAAACCTCAAAGCCAAAACAACAACAGCAACAAAAATCAGCTTTAAAAACTTAGGCATTTGCCAGTAAAAATAAAGGAAGAAAGTGTACTCTAGATCAAGAGCACGATACGAAGGCTAGAGCATTAGAACAGAGGCAAGAACATGCAGGATTTTAAGTGTCAAGATAAAGAACTGTTGAGTAGTTCAAGAAACAATGAAATACATTCTAGGCCAGAGGATGACAGATCATAACTGACCCTTTTTTTTGTCTTTTTCATTTTTATCAGTACTGGGGATCGAACTCATGACCGCCTGCTTGCAAGGCAGGTGCTTATGCCACTGAGCTAAATCCCCAGCCCCGGGAAGATGTTTTTGGTAGTAATGAATTTAAATATTTAGAATTCCAGGGGCTGGGGATAAAGCTCAGTGGTTCGGCACCTGCCTTACAAGCATGTGGCTGTGAGTTTGATTACTGGTTTCAAAAAATTTAGAATTCCAAGCAGAAAGAAACTAGATCTGGGTATTCTAGCATGGAGTCCCTTGCTTTAAGTGGGAGATAATTAGGATTTAATCTAAAAATATGGTAGTTAGGGATACAAAATAGTGACCATTAAGATAATCTGTGGCTCCCCTCCCTGGTAAGCGGAGGCAGGCTGGCAGACTGCAGCCCTTCCAGGGGGAGAACCAGCAGTGTCTCTTAAGATCCATGCCATGTTGGAACTGAGGACGCTGTGAAAACAAATGACCATCTTGCCTCCCTGCTTAGCAATAGTGAACCTACTGCTACATGGCCCAGAGTCAAATATCCCACTTCCCCTATCCTTCTCCCTCACCCCCCCATTAGCAAATGGGAACCAGAAATCTGAGCATCTCCTGGCAGGTTGACCATAGCAAATAAGGGGGACTTCCTTCTACCATTTCTTTGAAGGCAAATATTTTTATTATTGTTTTTGCTCTTTTCTAATTAATGGTACTGCTCTATTCAATATTCTGTTTTGATAAGTTCTTTTTTTTTAAATTTTTTTTTTGTCTTTTTCCTTTTTATCGGTACCGGGGATCGAACTCATGACTGCCTGCTTGCACAGCAGGCGCTTATGCTGCTGAGCTAAATCCCGGGCCCAAGTTCTATAGTGTTCTATATTTCATCTCATTTTGATATACGTGACTGAAAGAACAACTATTATAAAGATAACAAAATATACTGTGATACCTATTACTGTATCCCAGTAACCTGCTGTGAAGTTCTGTACCAATTTCACTGTACGATCTTAGTTGGCTTTATTCTGACTTGTTCTGTTGTATACTTTCAAAATAAAAAAAAAAGATAATCTGTGGCACCAGGATCTTCTAGATGAGTAACTAATTGAAAATAGGGAATGAGAAAAGCTGAGGGAGAGAATCAATGTAATTATGTGTGGAAACCATACATTTAAAAAGAGGAAGCACATGCTTATAATCCTAGTGCTCTGAAAGGTTGAGGCAGGAAGACTAAGTTCAAACTCAGCTTGGACAATGCAGTAACTTGGCAACACCCTGCTCAGTATATCTCTAAATAAATAAATACATAAGAAAAGGGAGAGGGAAACTAGGGATGTATCTTGGTGCAAAGGTCTAGGTTCAATTCCACTACCACTAAAAGAAAAAAAAAGTGTTCACAAGTAAGGGAAGACATAATTAAGAATCAGGATAATTTGCATTTGCATTGGAGAGAGGTATCAAAATCACCTTCCAGAAGGAAATAACATTTGAAGGAAGTATAGGAATGTTTGAGATTTAAAAGAAAAGGTGGCTAGAATCCCTTTTCAGGCAGAGGAGCCTTCTGTGAAGATGCAGAACTGCAAGAAAACTTCATTTAAAAAGATATGGCATTTTATATAATGGAATACTACCCAGCCATTAAAAGGATAAACTGGACACTTTTATAGGTGAATGGATGCAACTTGAAAACATACTCATTAGTGAAATAAATTAGACACGTGTAAACATCATATTGTTTCATTAGTGTGAGAAGCCGAAAGAAAAAACATGCATATGTGTGTATATGTATATAAAAATAGTAAAGATAATTATGCTACTGATTTCTTTGAGTTCACTGAAGAGAAAGATTTGTGCTGGTATTGTTCGGACAATTGAATGCACGTCTTATTCTGTGAGTGAATGATTTGGTATGAAAATGTGCAATATGTGTACCATTGTTGTCCCCACTGACATGTTTTGAAATTTCTTCTTTTTACTTTCCTCCTCCTCCTTCTGCTTGCTTCTGCTTCTGCTTCTTCTCCTCCTCCTCCTCCTCTTCCTCCTTTTTATCCTTGAAATAAAGTGAATTTGGGGGGAAAAAAGAAACCTTCATGCACTGGATTCCTGGTTCTCACCCTTGATTGATGAAAAGCTCTCAGGGAATTCAGAAGGATGCTGGTCTCTTTGGCCCTATTTCAGCCTGGTAGAATCAGGATCATGATGCTGGGATCCACAAGTGCGTAGTTTTGGTTTTGTGTGTGTGCAGTCTAGGGATTAAATTTAGGGCTTTCTACATGCTAGGCAAGCACATTTCCATTGAACTGCATCCTCAGGCATTTCTACTTTATTTTGAGACAGGGACTTACCAAGTTCCCTGCTAGGGCTTGAATTGATGATCCTTCTGTCTCAGTCTCTCAGAGTGTATTACAGGTGTGTGCCACACGATGAGCCTGGAGACATTTTGGAAGAACTACGTCTGAAAATAAGGCTGATCTTGGAAACTGTGTGGAGTACCAAGATATGAAATTGTTTAGAATGCTGGGGTCCTCAGGAGACTTACAACTCATGCTATGCTTTTAAGCAGGGGTTTAAATTATATTGTTAGGACCCGGGATATAGCTCAGTGGCACAGTGCCTTCCTGGCAAGTGTGAGGTCATAAGTTTGATTCTCACTACCCAAAACAAAAACAAAAAGCAAAAACAAACCAGATATGGTAGCTCACACCTGTATCCCAGCACTCAGAAGGCTGAAGCAGGAGCATCGTTGCGAGTTCGAGACCAGCCTGGGCTACAAAGTGAGCTCAAGGCCAGCCTGAACTGCATAGCAAAACCGTGTCTCAAAAAGATACAAAAAACAAAAAACAAAAACAACTCCCCCAAACCAAAAATTATATTGTTAGATTTGGGGTTCAGAAAGATTTCACTGTGGAAGTGGTGTGGAGATTGGTCAGGAGGGGATAGAGATGTCATAGTATGGGTTCAAGGAGGTCCCCCAAAGAAGAGATGGGTACTTCAACTCACCCCACCCATGGAGTAGGCTTTTCCAACAGAAAAGCACTTCAGGATACACCCATGAGAGGGATAGATAGATTTATTAGACAGAGTTTAAAATGTGCATACTCCAAGCAAATAGAGTGTAAGGCCTCCAGAGAGGCATATCAGAGTCTGGGATTGGGAGTTTTTTTGTGGTTTTGAAGGTGTCCTCAAAACCAATGTCCTAGGATGTATGTACCTAGTGTTTGTCAGGTTACCCATTAGTGAGCTAACTTAGGATGCAAGTCATTTACATCCATAGACTTCTTAAATGGTGCTGTTTCCTTGAGGACGGAGGTCTGTGTGATTTATGAGTCTCATAAAGAGAGAAAATACAGGCCCAATTTATAGACTTGTGTCTCTTTAAGATTTAGAATTTTGCTGGGCGAGGTGGTTCAAACCAGCACTGGGGTGGCTGAGGCAGGAGGATCATTGCAAATTCAATACCAGCCTAGGCTACAAAGTGAAGCTCAAGGTCAGCCTGAATTGCATTAGAGAGATCCTGTCTCAAAAAGACAAAAAAAAAAAGACTTAGGATTTATTTTTTTGAGAGGGGGGTGTCCTTTTGAGACAATTTTGCTATGTAGTTCAGGTTGGCCTTGAACT